CCCCTTTTCCTACCAATCCATGTCATTTTACTTCTTCAACAAAATGGACCAGAGCAAACCCTCCTATCTCATTGTTGGCGCTGGCGTGTTTGGTGTGTCTACCGCCTATCACCTTATCAAGAAGTACCCCGATGCATCCGTGACCCTAGTCGACAAGGATGCATACGACGCCGATGAGCGCGTGGCCGCCTCATGGGACTGGAACAAGGTGGTCCGCGCCGACTACGACGATTTTACCTACTGCCAGCTCGCCCTGGAGGCCCAAGACATATTCAAAAACGACCCTCTCTGGCAGCCTTATTTCCACCAGACGGGAGTCTACTGGATCTGCCGAAGCGACTACGCACAGAATGTGATTGACCACCACAAGAAGCTCGGCCGCAAAGACGACATTATTGCTTTGCCCATTGCAGAAGCCCGTAAATTGTACAATGGGCTCTTTGAAGACGCAGACTACTCTGGCGCCAAAGAGGTGCTCGTCAACCGCGCAAGCGGCTGGGCGGCTGCTGGCGACTGCTTACGCGCCGTCACGCGCGAATCTGTTCGATTAGGCGTCAAGTATGTGACGGCGGAAACCGCGTCTCTGGAGTTTGACCAGCGTGGCAACTGCACGGGCATCAAGACGACAACAGGCGAGATTTTGACGGCTGAGCACACGATTCTCTCGACGGGAGCGTACACGCCAAAGTTGCTAGAGTTGAGCGCTGCAAAGAGCGGTCTAAGCAACCTCCGGGCTGGTGACCGTATTCTGGCCGCTGGCATTACCACTGGCATGGCCGAGCTTGATGAAGAAGAGTACAAAAAGTATGCCGACATGCCAGTCGGCTTCCAGGGTTACACAGGACATGGTAGGTTTTCCGTCCTAATTTCGTTCAACAACTCCACGCGTCTTCTTTTTCTCCTTCCGCATTGCGATTAGGTGGGCAAAATAACTCACAATGAAAACCCAGGCAAGCCTTTCATCGGAAGCATTCCGCCAACAAAGGACAGAGAACTCAAGTGGTGGGGATCCAAAATCTTCTCAAACACCAAGGAAATCCTGCCTGGTCGCCACGTCTCGGCACCCCCACCGGCAAAAGATTACAGCCAGTGGAAAGTATCTCGCCAGCTCAAAGAGGATATCATTGAGCAGCGGAATCTGTGGTATGGGACCAAGAGCGCAGACTGGAAGATGACCAAGCACCGGATCTGTTGGTAAGTAACCTGTTATTAACACTGCTACATTTGAATTTCTGAAGCAAGGTGCTGACTGCGCGTAGGGACGCTTTCACAACCAGCTCAGATTTCATCATCTCTCCGCACTCGGCGGCCAAGGGTCTGTACCTCGCAACGTGTGGCTCATTCCACGGCTTCAAATTCTTCCCTGTACTCGGCAAGTATGTAATCCAGATGCTGGAAGACTCACTGTCGCCAGAGCTGAAGACGAGGTGGGCGTGGGATCGTGAGCGCCCGGATCATTTGCAGAACCCAGAGTACCCCAACTCTGAGTTAAGCGACCTTGTGGATCCGGTAGCGAGGTTGTGATATGCGAGGGAGTTGGGTTACATGTAATTGCATCGGCATAGATCAATGGCGTATATACATGCTTAGTGGAGTTGTTTTGATAATCCAAGATTTATGACAGGTCACTTGTTTTCACTCTTCACCGTGTGCACACGGGGTCGACGGCACGATGATTCATGACAAATGGGTTCTTACCTCAGTTTAGGTACAATCGTTGTATGCCGCGGACAAGTTGTCGTGGCTGAAGCAGTGACAACCTATCAGATGTATTGCATTGCTGATGAGCAAGCTGACGAGCTACCAGAATACTCCGCGCAGTAAGTCACCCCGGATTTCTTTTTTTTCTTCCCGAAGTCGGAGATGTTATTTTCCCCGCTGTCAGGTACTTGGCCAATAGTCAGCCGTGGGAATCCCGTTATGAACTTTGAGCTCAGCTGTATAGTACAGGTACCAACTACAGCCAATTCTCACACACTGTCCACGCCGGCCAACCAACTATCCGAGGATGGACACCTCGATTCGATATGAATGCTCGGCTTACTTTATGAATTGACTGCTTTGAACAGAAGTTGCTGATGGATATAGTCGGCCTATTGCTAACACCTTGGTGGCTTCGAGGCGGACGTTGAAGATCACGATGCGTTGTCGATCTCGGAAGGTCGGCTTCCCGAAATGTCAGCGAGTTCTTCAGTAGACACTAGACAGTTCACGTGACAAGGATATAGTCTTAAGTCGGGGCTTCTTATCTCCTCCGACTCCCACTGTTTACACTTTCCGTCCCTTATCGAAGGGGTTGTCTTACCTTGGGGGGTTAGACTAAGAGGGGAATGCACGGTGACGGGGCCCCCCTCCATCGGTTTAGTCCGTACGGTGCGGGGTTCGTGACAAGGGGGGTGTTTATAATTTCGTAAGTATTTAGTGGAGGCACCTACGCTTCCGGATCCTCTTTGCAGTGACGCTCGTGTCTTCTGCCCCAGGGCCCGTGAGATTCGCCAATGTCATGCCGCCAGAGGAGGGTTCCATCAGTTCGGCCAGCTTGAGGGGGAGAAGACGCTCACATCATGCCTGCCTCACTTGCAGGTCTGCCACTTTTGCCCATGCAGACATGTTTCTTATCGTGTTGGAGGGCGTCTGTACGCTGACTTTTTATTGTGGTTTGCGCCGCACAGGAGAAAAAAGACGCGATGCCCGGGTGAGAAGCCGGCGTGCTCGAGTTGCGTCCGGCTGTCCCAGTCATGTTCTTACCCTGCGGTGAGGGCTTCGCAAAGCGGAAGATCGGTACGCACGCTACAAACACTCTCGCCCTCACTGAAATCAGACGCCTTACCACCGATAGGATGAGAGACTGCAAACTTTGGAAGAGAAACTGGATCTCCTCCTCAGTGGAGGGGGCTTGTAATACGACACCGCACGCGAACCATGCTTCGTTCAGACCATCTGACCGGGTTCTTAGACCGAACCACCACGCGCGTCAAGGACCTACACAAACACAAACTCAACGACAGGCAACGTATGAAGAAGTTACCGATGCGTCGGAAAAGTCATTCTCGTCGACGCCGCCGTCTCGGAGGAACCGGCAGGACTACCCGACGACCGACAACAGCAATTCTTCCGTCGTCTTTGACCCAGACGAGATGGCGACGGGCATTAACCTCTACTTCAAGTACTGCCACCGACAGCCGATATGGTGTTTTGAGAGAGACGAAGTCGGCGACTACGATTCGTTGCCCGAGGAGCTCGCGAGCAGCATTCTCGCGCTGACGTCGCGGTTTTCAGAGCAGCGCGATCACATGCAGCTCTACAGCAGCAATGCAAAGACACTCATCATGCTTCGCATCGCGAATGGCACGGTAGACATTACGACAATAGAGAGTTTATGTCTTCTTTCGTATGCCTCTTTCGTAGGTAAGTACTTGAGCAGCGCGTCGTCGTGACATGAATCGAGATGGGAAACTGATCGTACAGACGGCAACGTTCACCTGGGCCAATTCCACCTTGGCCTTTCACTCCAGCTGTGCCGATCAGCCATGCTGGACATGGAATCTGTTTATGCGGTGGATGATTCAACAACGGACCGGAAGAAGAGGCTTTTTTGGAGTCTTCAGTTACTGGAGCAGTCCTACGGCCGCCAGGACGGACTGTTGAGTTTTCCCAACCACGTGCGTCGGCCTACGCTCCCATCAAACGGAAACCAGCCGGAGCAGGACTCGTGCAAGGCGCCGCCGCTACCTCGAGATGACCTCGGAACCTCGACACCGGGCGAAACCGGCATCTGGAACACGAGCGTCTGTCTGGGATGGGTCTGGAGCCAGGTCAGGAAGTACGTGTCGGATTGCTCGCGCAATATCCTCAAGGAACCATGGCGGCACGACTCGACCTACGCCAAGGTGCTCTCCGATTTCATGGAGACGGAGAACAGGATCCCCATGTGCCACCGTTACGACTCGGTCAAGTTTTACGAGCGGAAAATCGACGAAGTCAAGGTGAACCGGGACTACTGGGCGCCATGGCTGAAGGAGCAATTCACGTACCACGCGATACCCACCGTCCTGAACCATCCGTTTCTCTACATAGTCGGAGCCCAGCACAACCCGAACCTCGGGATCCCCAATACGTTCTGGAGGCGGTCGTCCGAGCAGGCTCTGCTCCATGCCACTTGGATCGTCCGGATGATTGACATGGTTGTCGACAAGCAGGTGCCGCTGGTGGACCCTTTCTTTGGGCACGTTGCTGCGATTGCGGCGACGGTGCATCTCTACTACTGCTGTGCCGCGGCGGCGAGATTGAAGCACAAGTCCAACACGGACTTTGCAAAGTGCAGGAGGTTCCTCAAGAGCTTCATCCCATGTTCCGCAGCGTGTGGCGCATTGGTACGTCTGACCTTACCTTGGCCATGGATATCTTAAGTGCTGTATGTTGACCAGAGCATCCAGGACCGCAACCTCGACAGGATGACACGCATTGCTGCGGGGAGCGAGAACATGGACGTGGAAGACTGGATGCCGTCCAAAATCTACCTCAGCGTCCCCTTGATGTGGGAGATTCTGCAGTTCAACTCCACGACCGACTCGCAGGAGATCCCGACCGCCGGCCTCCTGGACGCATCGCTCACACCCGTGGTACCACCCGTTGATACGAGCGACAGCTCGACTCTCGAAATCATTGTGGCCACCTCTCCAGAGATCACAATCAATATTGCCGACGGCGGGCAAGAGGCGCCGACGTCGAACTATAAGAGGACGCACAACGTTTCGTCGAACCAGGCCAACTCGACATCCACATCCACATCCACATCTACATCATCTTCGTCGTCGGCGTCGGCGTCACGGGCCGCCGTGTTTGACCCGCCGACTGTCGAGCAGATTGATAGTTTGACCTTCAACACCACGCCGTGGCTGTATGCGGACCCGTCGCAGCTCGTGGGCATGGGGGATATGAGCTACCCGCAGTCGGAACCGGGGAATGCGTGGTGGGAGGGGGAAAACTTTAACAACATCATGTTTAATCAACTCTAGCAATGGGCGTTCTTTCACTACATCATGTCGCTTTCTGTCCAGCGGTGAGCATGTGTAGATCTTCTCGTTGACTTGCCTGCATCTTTTGGTAAGGCTGTCTCTCGTGTTCTCACCCACGAAAACGAGGTGCCATGACAGAGCCCTCTGAGTAGTATCGTAGTGTCGTGCCGTGTTCATTCTTTTCACATCCTTGTTTTAATTCCCACGCCGCAGTGAAACGTGCCACAATTTGCCCGAGTCATTGGCTCGCGTGTAGTGTTTACCATCGGAACCTTTTCATCAGACGGACACGATGACACGGTGAGCACGGTGACACGAGGACATCAAAACGCCAAAGCACGAAGCCACGATGGGATAATTCTTAGGTAATGCGAACCGGGTAACTCACCGAGGCGAAAAAAAACCCAGCCCCCAGCCCATGCACACGCGACGCCAGGCGGCGTGCGGACTTGCAACGGCGCTTTCTTGGTGAATGCGGTGGATCATGCGGGGGAAGAGGCAGGGATCAAGCTGTCGCTTTTAAGACGGGCGTTTTTTCATGAAAAGCAAATCGGGGGTGGCCGGGTAGCCTGGAGCGCTGGGGTTGCAGAGCGGTTGAGAAAAAGGGCTTCCGAGTGATGGGGTCATGTCATTGTCTGACCAAGATCGTTCTAGACTCCTCGATGGGCCTTGTCTTCTTGACTCCAACAACCGAGCCAACCTTTACATAATTACGAGCTGGGTCCGCGGAGACAGGACACACACTCGGCTGGGCTGGTTTCCCCAAGTGGTGTGCGCCGCCCGTCTGACCCGTCATTGGACAGGAAGGGAATAGAGAGGTGTTCGTCTCCCTTCATCGGCTGTCTTCTCAGTTCTCACCTCCCTCCAGCGCCTAGCCTTGTCTCTGCCACGCATGCCAAGAATCAGGGTCCTGAGCCAGACCGGTTTTGACGCACAGTAGCATCTGGGGCCTTGCCGTTTCTGAGATGGTGGTGCTCGTTTGGGTGTTTCTCCATCGCTCCCTGTACCGTGGGAGCCCTTGACCACCTACTACTCTTTGGCCGTTGCAAATCTGTCACAAATTACTCACATTGGTAGTTGCCAAGGGCGCCAAAGAATCAATGATGATCTTCCCAGGAGCGCAAACAACTGACTCTGGACGATAACAAGGGCAGACGTGTTGATCTGCTCAGCTGTTATCTCCAAATCGCGTATGAGCCGCAGTGACATGACTCAAGAGGGCGGGACACTCTTAACATCCCTCCCCCGCCGAATTATTCCTTGCCAACGCACGATCCGTAAGGCCAAGTGCGGCGGGCCAACAACAAGGTAATGCCCTCGAATGCGAATCGGGTGTTGCTGATAACCACATGCGAACGACACGGTGTTTGACAAGGTCTTGAGGGTCACGATGACTGGATGGAAGGTTTCCGCCCTCCCGAGTCGCGGATGTTGGGGTCCCCGAAAGGCTTACCCTCGTGTTTTGGCTCGTTTCGACAAAGAGTCTGGCCGGTGGAAACTAAGGCGCTGAAAATGGTGGTGCGTGGGATTGTCGACTCTTCGGACGAATCTCCAGCTGCCGTTAGGCCCGACCTCACCGACACTTATAACAGACTCTCGTATCGCGTCAGTCGGGAATTAGATGAACGGGGTCCTGTCTTGAACGGGTGGTGGTTATCGCCACTGGAAACAAAGCACGAGAAACGCATCCCGAGAGATGAGTTGCTTTGCGCGTCAGGATTGTCAACTGCACGTTGGATCACACCGATGACCAGTGACCGCGGTGAAAAGAAAAAGCGCAGACTATCCCAGCATGCATCGTGTCATGTTGGCAAGCGATGCAGACAGGTGTTGGTGTCCAACAACGTCAAGTACCGTGGACGCAAACCGGTTGATGCCCAACAGTGGATGGCACGTCAAACACTCATCGTCCTTCCTACTTTTGTAAGCGTTATCGCTCTCGCGGTGATCCATCCAGAGCATCGGGCAGATCACGATCACAATGACCCTGATAAGACCAGACGCCCCAAGGTTCAACAATGGTGGCGGGGGGAAAGGGCACCGGCGCAAAGGCCGAGTTCGGAGCAGAGCGCGCAGAGCAAACCACCCCCTCCCCGGCTGATGTGAGCCGGCCTCGCTCGTCCAACCCGGGGGGGTTGGCATTGCAAACCAAAGCCGAATGTTGGCGAGAGAGTACGAGTTCCAAGGGGCAAGCGCAGCAAGCTTCTTGCGCCCGCTATCTCTCAACTCTCTCTCTCTGGTTGCAAAGGTGACCATATCATGACCGAATCAAGCACAAGTAAGGCCATGTGGCGATAAGCCTTTGCAAGGCGTGGTGTTGATAAACCATGGAGGTGTGCGTGTTTGGGTCATGTTCCTTTGGGGGGGGGGGCCACGCGCGTTGGCCAACACGGACGGCATCGGCTTCAAGAAACCGATCAGGTGACCGCCGCCTTGGAGTCGCCGGGCCACCTCTGCGTTGCTGCTATCTATAGCAAAGCTCCTTGTCCGTTCTCCAAGTTCTCCACACGGACGATGGTGCTAGACTGAATCGGGGTATCGCAGACGGTCATGGGTGACTTATAAGCCGTGTTGCAACTGGGCGCGATGCCATCAACTCTGGAGGCTGTCGACAGGAGAGTTTCTTCAGACCCGTGATACATCTTTATTATTAGATCCTTTTTCTTGTCACGAGAGAAAGGGTTAACACTCTCTCACACACACATCATGGATCCCTCACAGCGCGTCGTCATCATCGGGGCCGGCATCGTCGGTACCAACATCGCCGACGAGCTGGTCTCGCGGGGGTGGTCCAACATCACCGTGGTCGAGCAGGGGCCGCTGGCAATGCCGGGCGGCTCAACATCCCACGCCCCCGGTCTCGTGTTCCAGACCACCGGTTCCAAGACCATGAGCGCCTTTGCCAAATACACGGTGCAGAAGCTGCTCTCCATAGATTGCTTCAACCAGGTCGGTGGCCTCGAAGTGGCAGAAACACCAGAGAGGCTCGAGGAACTTAAGCGGAAACACGGATACGCCTCCTCCTGGGGCATCGGGGCCCGTCTGCTCACCGCCGACGAGGTCAAGGATATCTACCCCCTCATCAGCACAGACGTGGTCCTCGGCGGCCTGCACATCCCGACCGACGGTCTGGCATTGGCCGCCCGCGCAGTCCAGGTTCTCATCGAGCGAACCCGGAAAGCCGGCGTCCGGTATCGTGAGCACACCCCGGTCACGGGCATCGCGCGGAGCGAGGGCCGCGTCACGGGCGTCGAGACCAAGGACGGTACTATCCCCGCCGATCTCGTCCTCTCCTGCGCCGGCTTCTGGGGCGTCGAGGTCGGCGCCATGATCGGCTTGCCGATTCCGCTGCTGCCCGTCGGTCACCAATACGCAAAGACGGCCCCCGTGCCGGCGCAGAAGAAGAAGGAGGGGAAGAAGCTCGAGGCGAATGGCGCGCAACTCCCCATCCTCCGCCACCAGGATCGGGATCTCTACTATCGCGAGCACGGCGAGCAGTATGGCATTGGCTACTACGGCCACCGTCCCCTTCCCGTGGTCGCCGCCTCACTCGGCGAGACGCCCAAGCATGTCGATGAGCACAACATGCCATCGCGTCTCGACTTCACGCCCGAGGATTTCAAGCCGGCATGGGAGCTCACCAAGAAGCTCCTCCCCGCGCTCGCCGACAGCGAAATCGAGCATGGCTTCAACGGCATCATGTCCTTTACGCCAGATGGCGGTCCCCTGATCGGCCGAGCACCCAACCTGGAAGGCTTCTACGTCGCCGAGGCAGTCTGGGTCACACACTCCGCCGGGGTGGCGCGCGCGGTAGCCCAGCTCCTCACCACCGGAAAGTCCGAGGTCGATCTCGGCGAGTGCGACATTGCGCGCTTCGAACAGGTCCAGCTGGCGCCCGAATACGTAAAGGAAGTCTCGACGCAGAACTTTGTCGAGGTCTACGATATCCTGCACCCTCTCCAGCCGCGGACGTCACCGCGCAACCTCCGCGTGAGCCCGTTTCACACGCGCCAAAAGGAACTCGGCGCCTACTTCCTCGAGGCCGGCGGGTGGGAGCGTCCGCAGTGGTTCGAGGCCAACGCGGGGCTCGTCAGCCAGTTGCCCGCTGCGTGGAAGCCCAAGAAGCGCGATGCGTGGTCTGCGAGGTATTACTCCGACATTGCTGCCGCGGAGGCGTGGAAGACGCGGACGGCGGCGGCAATGTATGACCTCACGCCCATTCGCCGGTTAGAAGTGGCCGGTCCCGGATCAGCCAGGCTTCTTCAGCGGCTGACTACGAGCAACGTCGATAAGAAGCCGGGCAGTGTCACGTTTACCCTTCTTCTCGACGAGGAAGGCGGCGTGCTCAGCGATATCTTCGTGGCGAGGCTCCGTGACGACCTGTTCCAGCTTGCCGTCAACGGCCCCGTCGATCTTGCTTACTTGGAGCGAGAAGCTCGCCTCCAGGTCAAGACATCACCAGCGCAGTTTGTCCAGGTTCGCGAGACCACTGGAGGAACGAGTGGCATCGGTCTCTGGGGACCCCGCGCCGCCGATATCGTTGCCGGTATCAGCTCGGACAATATCAAGGACATGCCTCATTCTCACGTCAGGTCAGCCATCATTGCCGGTCTACCTGTCACCGTCGTGAGCCTGTCATTCGTCGGCGAACCTGGCTGGGAGATTTACACCAGTGCCGAAAACGGCCTGCGCTTGTGGGACACTCTCTGGCAGGCGGGCCAGCCTTATGGAGTCATCGCCGCAGGTCGCAGCGCGTTTAGTGCCCTGCGCCTCGAGACGGGATTCAGGACGTATGGCGCCGACGTGACTAGCGAGCACAACCCCTTCGAGGCCGGTCTTGATTTCGCCGTCGATGCCAGCAAGCAAGGTTACGTTGGCCATGCCGCCATCAAGCGACTCGCAAAGACAAACGTCGCCAAGCGCCTCCGTTGCCTCACAGTCAACGACGGGAGTTCCGTGGTTCTCGGAAAGGAGCCCGTGTTCCTTGGTGGCAAGGCCGTCGGTTACGTCACGAATGCTGCGTTTGGCTACACTATCGGAAAGCCCATTGCCTACACCTATCTGCCCAGCAGTGTCAAGGAGGGCGACGTCGTTGAGATTGAGTACTTTGGAAAGAGGATTGAGGCGACTGTGACAGCAGAACCGCTGCGTAAAGCGCCAGGGGGTGAGGCGACGGCGACTTCATCACGGAAGCGGGTTGCGATTAGGTCAAAGTTGTAATTCGTTGAGCAGGCGCTTGGTTTGTTTTATGAGTACTTTACATGATAATGAAGTAAATGAACAGTCTATTCTACAGGAACATACAGAACATGTGGTGCATGCAACCACCAAGGAAGTCGAAAAAGAATCAACTCGTATCATTGAAACCGGACCCTGACGTTGTGGCTACCTTGTTTCTTCTCGTCAATATAGACGGCGAATTCCATGGAAGCTCCCGAAGGAATCATTTCTACCTCGTAGGTCATCTTCTTTGCCATCGTCCCATCAATGGTTTTGATATCGGGAAGACTCGAGAACGGAATGTCGAGCTTGCATTCAATCTTGCAAAAGTCGTTGACGTGGAACGTACGTCGAACCGGCACCTCCATCTCATCGCAGGCCCAAATGTCAACAGAGAAATGCCCCCCGAAATCTTCTCTGAAAATCTCAAAATACGAAAATTTGGCCGGATCCTTTTGCGAAACGTCGTCGCCCTTTGAAATTGGAGCCAAGTCAGTATCAGCTAGCTTACAAGCACCACGCGTGTGAATGAACTCACCCTTCTCAAAAACCAATCTATTTGGTTCCTGGCTCTCCACACTCCCAGGTCCATGTCATACTCCTTGTCATCTTGGATATGTCGGTTCCTGTCAAATGTGGCGCTGTACGGAACTCCATAGCTCGACCGCGACACTGTCGACGTTACACGAATAGGTGCCTTGACCCGGTAACCGTCATGCTTGATCAGGGCGTGTTCTTGAATCCGGCTACCGTCTAGGAACCCTTTGTGAACTGCGCCGCGGCAAATGGCCGTTCGGCTTTGTATGATGTTAGCTTTTTGAATCCCTATTTCTTGCGTTACACATGGAGTATTACTCACGGTTGCATGCCTCTCGACTGCAATATGGATATTCCTGCCGGAGCGTGTTTCTTACTCAGATGCTCGTAGAGATACGGACTAGCACCTAATCCGCCGACAAGGATGATTCCCTAAAAGGAAAAAGAGACGTGTTAGTTCCCTTGGACTCTTCGCAACAGATGTGTACATTTTCATAGCTACTCAGCTTACGTTGATTCTCAACTTTGAACTTGCCGCCATCTTCATTTGCTTTTCGAGAAGCTGGTCAATACCGGTGAAGGATTCCGTAAAGGCATCCTGAATGTGAGATCTGTCCATGACGTTAGTTGGATCTACTTTGTGGATACTCCAAATGCCAGAACCAAAATCACAAACTCTTTGAAGTGGATTTTTCCATTTCTGATAATGGGCTCTCTGCTGGAATCATCGAGTTCCGAGTTGCGGAAAGCTTCGGCTGGAATCTCCACAATGTATTCTTTGTGAGACAGACCGGGCGCAAATTGTGGCTTAATGGCAGCCTCCCACTCGCTCTTCATAATCTTTTTGATCCCGGCCCTGCTCAGGTGGTTCCATTTGAGGCCCAAGCGATCGCTGCACATTTGTTCGAAAGCCTCGTCTATGAAAATCCCACCGCACAGGCTGCCTGTGTAGGCATCTTGTCAGCTCCTCGTCTCGCCATCAAAGGCTAAAGCGAATGGGTTACGTACCTGTTCCTTCGACGGCCTCGTGCATTGATATAGGGCTGTTCTGTTCGATTTGGTAACTGATGAGATCCTGGAGGCCGTCAGAATGTAATCCCATGGACTCCATTTGTGGGGACACAAAAAAGAAACTCAAAACCTACCACAGTGCCACCACCGGCGTCACAGATGATGTACACATCGCCCTTGTTCACCTTCCGGCCTCGCTCACTCAGGGTGGATAGAGCAGCGGCTTCAGGCTCAGGAGCTAGGGTCAATGTAGTCTCGCCGGCCACGCGAGTTGTGAGGATGCCTGCCCTCTTTGCAGCTGTTATCATGTCTTCCCTCGCATATCCCTTCCATATCGCCGGGACGGTGATGACAACGTGTAGTCTCATGGCGTCAACGACTTCCTTGCCCCTGGACTTGTTAATCGTCTGAATCACATATTTGAACAACGCGCCCAGGTAATCAGCGACCAGATCAATGGCATTCTTCTTCAAGCTTCGCAACATCTTCTTGGCGCGGATGATGAACTCGGAGGAGCAAAGTTCTGGGCCGAGGTCTTCGTCTTTGAGAAGGAGAAGCTTGAACCAGCGGATGGGGTCGGCTTCTGCCGGAACACTGTAACCCCACTTCATGGTGTCGCCGTCATAGTAAAGCTCTGTTGGTGCTTTGCCCTCTTCAAACCCTGTACCAGGCCAGCTGACGATTGTGTTGATGTCACCTTTCTTGAATTCCTCGCTGGTAGTCCAAGCTACTCCCGAAAAACTAAGCGTGCCCTCGTCAGTACATGTCCGAAGAAGACTAGTTGGGCGGGGGGGGTTGCAAACGTCGTTCCAAAGTCAATGCCAATGACCAGGAGGTCATCATTTTCGTCACTGCTTGAAGCTTCTCTCTGATTCTTGGGGATTAGTATTGAATGGGCTGAATCAAGCAGGATGCTCACCTCGATACCGGTCGAGTGTCCCATCATTAGGTATGGCGTCAAGTTTGGCGGAATACTGGAAGCAGGTGTGTACAACTGAAGGAACTGGATGCAAGTTGATGTCCAATGGTTTACATTCAAGGCTGGCAACGCGGGGGAATTTCGCTGTCTTTTATTGCAGAGAGGTCAGAATAATGAAGAACCTTTGGCAGCCTGCCGATTCGTGTAAAGAGAGCCGATATGTCGGCCAAGGCAGGCTGTGCTGAAGATAACTGTTGGGGGCGGGTGCCTACATGTTAAGCTGACCACCGCTTCATCTCTTGCACACCTACCCAAGCATCAACTTGGGCTGCCTCTACTAGACGAGGCCTTTTTTGTATCTTGTGCTTCGCATGGTCGTATGGTCTGGCCAATGTTGCGCGCCTTGCCTATGCAGCTATAATCTATGGATGCGCCCCTACAAGGGAAGAGAGATATGTACGAGTTGAAAAGAGCAAAGCCATGGTATCATACGGGGACAGACCCGAATCGTTTTTAGACTAATCATGAAGCTTCTCAAGGTCATCGCTGCAAAGACTCTCAAGTAAACACGAAATCATCACGGCTGAATTTCACATCTTGTATGATCTTTTTGTTTGGTGCCCAGTCATTACAATTTACCGGCAATCAGATGAAATCCTGGAGGCCTCACAACGCAGTTTTGCCTGATTTATTTCTATCACGGTGTGTCGTCTGACGAAGTATTTGAAGCAGGCTACAAGCCACCCTCCTTTTCTTGGAAATTGTGGCTTTAAATTCAGGCTTGGCTGAATCGACACTCCGTGGATTCTGCAGGCTTGGTTGCATTTCCAGGTCCTTTCGAGGGGGCTTGCATCCGCGGTTTTTCCTGTTCCCTTGTTCATTCCCAAGGGTTTTTTTCAGGTTGATGTCGGCAATCGCAGCGTGGTGGCAGTTCTTTTGTCCCTGTCGCATCATTTGTTGGCCTTGTTAGGTACTTATATATATGAGCTAGGCTATGTCCTAAACTTTGCAATATAGATTCAAACGAGGTCCAGTAATAATGCGAGCCAACTTACCGAACTAGTTTCCTCACTCGAGCTCCGAGTACAATCACGGAAAGCGACACACAGGCTTTGATTCCCGATACGAATATGCCTGCTCGCCATTGAGCCTGGTCATCACACCACAAAGGCTTTTGGTGTGGTACACAAGGGGGCTGACATGCAAACTGGTCACTTGAAGCAATCCAAACGATCAATCAGGGGGCTGGGAGTGCTGGAAATGAGTGTGCCTCCCACCATTTGGGGCTCCTTGTGTAACAAGCCCCGGTCCAACCATGCCTGGTAAACTGCAATCCGCCTTGTCCGGCAGCCACACCGAACCATCCAAGAAGCAGGCTATGGCCACATCAGCCAGCCAGTCAGACTAAAGTCATCGGACTCCCTACCCAATCATGTTGCGGGGCTGTCTTTGTATCTTGAACAGTAGGACCATTCACCGCCGACAGCTGACGGAAATCCAGCTTCTGCGTGATCATCAGGGCACAGAAAACGCTCCTTCATGAACCTTCAATCTTCCTCTGACAAGAAAAGCCTTTTAAAGCTGCATAGAAGATTGAGATTCTAGTACTTATCTTTCGGCCAGTATATTTTGTCCTGATCCGCCGAGGTCAATTCGAGACTTTGCTTCCCAGTTGGAGACGTTTCTCGCCTCCTGAGAATGACGGACAAAATTTCGGTTGCTTACAGTTCATCTGTCCGACCACAATCTCGTCGAACATGGCCACGGGAAAGCGAACGATCACTTTCCAGGAATGAGCTTCGCCGGCATGGCAGCTTTCCATTTCAAGATTCGATGAAAGAGATAGCTATCCGCCCCCCCTTGAAAGGGAGAAGTCGCAAGTCATCAAGATCGGTAAATACCAAGGCGTCCAGGCCGCAGTAGAAAGAACATAATTGGCGAGGAGAGAGCACCTAGCTAATTTTTCACGTCGATTCACCATAGGTCAATTTTGACACCGAGTCTATCAGTCAATCCGAATCATCCGCCGACCTTGACCCAGCTTTTCCAAGCCACACGTTGGAAAGAGAACGATCTTCGAAAATACAAGACGATGCAAGGACTGATACTATTTTGATTGAAAAAGACGCGATACTGGCATCAATGCAAGCTGAGCTGGAGCAAAAGGACGCAGAGCTTGCTGACCTGCGTAAACGCTGGAAGCAAACTGCTAAGGAACTGAACAGGCTGAAGACGTCACAACGAAGAGGACTGTATCAAGTCACGGATCGGTACCTTGTGGATTTGGCCTCCCGGCTGAGATATAACATTCGGAATATTGCTATCCAATACTTCGAGGGCAGCCAAGAAATCCGGGATCCCAGGCATGAGACGACGGAATCTATCTACTCTCGGTACTTTACTCAAGTAGCCCCCGATGCGCAAAGACGGAGTGCGTACCTAGGATCCAATCGCGGTCGTTCCAGCGTTGGGCAAGCCTTCCTGTGGCAGATTATCATTGTCGAAGTATTCGGCCAATACCTCTGGACGGGGTCCAAGCTGTCTGGTGCCATCAATATCTTGAATGATCACATGAGGCAAGGTAGGACTTCCAAACACTTTTCTGTCCGTTGCTTCCGGCATCATACTCATTTGTTTTTGTAAAAAAGACAGACATCCAAGCGCCGAATTCGACATCGAAGCATGCCGGAACTTCCAGTCTTGGAGTGCAGAGACAACTGGAATGGTCCTACAAACGATTGAAGAGAAGCAAGAACCAGAAGTGAGCCAGTTTCTCAATAGGGTGGTGAAGAAAATTGCAGCGGGCATTGTAGATGCAATCCTCTCGATTATTGACGTTGCCGACGAAGACGGGCTGGAGCTGGAGATTGGCATGATCCTCCATGAGGCATTAGCTCTTGACAAGGAAGTGTGTAGGCAAGTGGCGCGCGTGGATTGGACAGCTGATAAAACACCGACAAACTTTGATCCCGATACTATGGAGCTAGAAGGAGATGTTGAATTGGGGACACATGGCCAGACAGCGTGTCTTGTCGTGGCTCCGGGGTTGAGGAAGCGGGGGAAGTCGTCTGGGGAGGACTTTGATGTCGATGAACTATTACTTCCCATGGTTGTATCTTGCTTTAATACTGGGTCATGATTGCAGATGATGCAGTTTATAGCTTGCTAGGCGCTCATAACAGGCTGAACTTGTCCGAATTAGTTCGGGTCCTGGGGGGAAAAGGGTCCCAAACAATCGAGGTTGATATTGGTATCGACTGACTCCGTTTGTTTCCTTTTTTCCGTGACTCCTCGTGTTTTCTGTGACTCACATACTGTAATGGGGAATAGAAACCAATCATGGATGCCAGTCAGGCTGTCACAGAAACCTTGAAGTCGCCGAGAAGCGGATAGTCATGGTATCTCAGTCACAAGACAAACGATGAACCTCGTTTTTCAAACAACAAACTTGACTCAGCACAGTTTTCTCGCCATGACTAAATTCATGAGTGTCTATGCTGCAGTTTTGTGTACTTAATTCATCCATGCCTGAGCTATGGAGTAATTTTGCTACTGCAGAGAAAAACGGGTCGCCAAAGCATTCACCTGTCTCGGTTGCCCTTACTTTGGAAACTTGAGAGTCCCTGGAGGAAACCGACCCTTCTTTATCATGCGGGAAACCCAACCAAAAACCCCTTGGAGACAGGGGTATGTGTGGAGCAGAATGGTTGGATCTGTTACATTCACCAACCAACACAACGGGTCGTACGAGGTCAAGCACAAAGCCAAGTGGATGTCCTCGACAAGGGCCCAAGTCGCTCTCTTATCTTTGGGAATTGGTAAACTCAATGACCCCGCACTTGACAAGTTCCGATTGTTCTCAACACGGCATTGCCAGAAAACTTGATTTACGATAATCATGGGAGACAACTTTGAGCCCAGCCGCATCCGCGTAGGCATCCTAGGCGCCGGTATCGCCGGGTGCTGTCTAGCTGTCGGTCTCCTCCAAAACCCGAGCCTGGACGTACACTTGTTTGAGAGGTATTCAGACATTCGGGTGCGCGGGTCCGGTCTCGCACCGCATGGAAACGCCATCAGAGCCATGGACTTGATCTCGCCCAAGATCAAGCAGGCGTATTTCAAAAAGTCGCACTTTATGGCCATGAAGAACACACTGAAATGGCGACGCAATTCAAATTGTCCAGTGGCGAGCATGCCGGGGTTGTCTTTGCCGAGCTGGGCAGGGCCAAGGGCAGACGGACCGTCCACAGCGCGCACTTCATACAAGGGCTGCTGGAAGACGACGTTGTTCCGAGCTATCGCGTACACTTTAATAAACGAGTTGCGAGCATGGAAGAAGATCCTATCACGAGGAAAGTTGCCGTCGCGTTTGAAGATGGCACGCAAGATACTTTTGACATTGTTTTCGGCGCAGAAGGTGTCAACAGCCCGACGAAGAAGTTTGTTCTTGGGCCTGGTCATCCAAATGCAGCCCCCGTCAACCACGACGAGTGGCGTCAATTCCATACCACCGTTCCCATGTCTGAAGCCAAGAAAGTTGTCCCAGAGGAGTCGAGCAACACAATCATCACATATTGCACGCCTTACGGGTTCATCAACGCAATTCCGCTGGACCTTGGCCAAACATACAGTGTGGGATGTTACCAGAGAGATACCAAGTGCCCGGTACGGGGCGCCCCATTGAACCCCCAGCTTTGGAAGGGTCTGCTTCCCGGAGTGGACGCCTTGATTTCTGTAAGTCAAATCCCGCCTCCGGTTTTTAAGGCATCAGAGTTGTCTAAGTAGCAATGCCCCCAGCTCTTGGAAAAAGGACACACAGAGAACTGGACTCTCCAAGATCACGACCATGCCCCGTCCTATTACAGAGGACGCGTAGCCATGGTCGGCGATTCCGCTCACGGGACGCTACCTCACTCCGGCAACGGAGCTGCTCAGGCCATTGAAGATTGTTCAGTGCTCACTGGCATTTTCTTGCGCCTGACGTCTTTGGATGAGGTCGAGGCAGCTTTCAAGGCATATGACCAAATACGCCTTCCAAGAAGCCAAAAGATTGTAGAGATTACGAGAAGTTTCGGGCGTTTGTATAGCCGCGACCCCGAGGAGATTGTCTTGGATGATATGAAGGCTGAGATGAGGGAAGGTGGTATGTACATCAACGGAGTGGACATGGAGGCTCAAGTCAAGAATGCAATTGATGCTTTCGAGAGGTTTAAAGAGCTTCAGCCGGATAGTTGAACTCATCAATTCATTTTTGGGGAGAGACAGCGCAATACCAAATAGACATGGAGGCATGAACACTACAAGGGATGCGCTCGAGCTTGATTATTAAGTAATGAGACTGCCATGTAAGAGCCTTTGATAATATGCTGAGCCCCAGTGAATGATTTATTTCCCCCGAATTATCCATGCAGTTCCAAAATACTGGAGCGAATTGAGATTTGATGCCTTCTTTGCGGACCAATATGCCGGATCTAGTTGGGTATTGCCCGTGGAGGGACAGTTGACGAGCATCAAAGTCTGCTGCCCAACATCGACTTTGGTGTGGAGTCTAGCGGCAACAACATTCTAGTGGAAGAGAAAAGGCTGTAGGAGCAATTCAAGACGAAGGGTGTCAGGTCTTGAGCAGCTCTCGACTTTGTTTCCATCGTCTAGGTAATGTAATGTACATCGAGTTGTTCAAAACATGCAGCTGGCATCGACTGCACGATTCAGACACTTGAGAGCACGATGTATGGGCTGCGTCAAGAACCGACTAAGGATATCTCTAGTCATTCCCACAACATTGAAATAGTCACAAATGTCACTTGGTTTGTATAGGACAACCCTTGAGCCTCCCCCAGTCTTCAATCCCTTTCAGTGTGACCTGCAGCTCTTTCAACACGGGTGCCATATCCACCTTGAAGGGGTTCTCCTCGGCGTCGTTGTACCACGTGTAAGCCCGCCTCGTCTCATCCACGACAACTTCCAATTCCTTGCCAGACTGCATTTGAGATTTCAACGCCGCAGCCATCTCCTGAGAGAACTGGTCCACCGTCTGGTTCTCATACCCGACCTCTCGACCCCACGCATGGCCCAACTTCTCGGCAAGCTGAGACAGTCTCACCGTCTCTGGCCCGCCGACGGCTATATCCCTCCCATCGAACTCCGCAGGGTCCCGTGTCAAGACGGCGACCATCAACAGCGCCAAATTATCGAGCGAGATCCACGATACCTCAAGATCAGGCTTGTGGCAGTAGACTATCCGCCCCTCGTCCCTCAGGCGCGGCAGCGCCCAGCCTTCAAGTAGGTTGTCCAGGAAGACGACGGGCTGTATCGAAACCAGCGCCACGCCGCTCCCCTTGACCGCCTCCCGCAACAGCCGGCGCGTCTCACGACGGTGCTCCTGGGCCTCGATGCCAACGTCCTTCTCAGGGACGGGGAAGCTCGTGTTGAAGACAATGATCTTCAGAGTCGACGACTGCGCGGCGGCCTCGGCACCAATCGCCTTTGCAGCAGCATAGAGGAAGTCCGCAGGCTGGAAAGAAGGCAGGTTGAGAAAGACCGCTTCTGCGCCGGACAGAGCCGCACGAACGGCGGCCCGGTCGGTGAGCTCTGCGATGCGGGTCTCGATGGGCGGGGAGGAGGCGGCGCGGGGTCGCCGGCTCACGGCGATGGGATGGTGGTTTGCCTCCTTGAGGGCGGAGATTTGGGCGATGCCCTGTCCGCCTGTTGCGCCGAAGACGACCACGCGCATTATATGTGTGTCTGTTTGGCTACTGCTGAAGGATTGCTAAGGGATTCTTGGGTCTGGTGCCTGAGTCAAGTCTTGCGTCGCTGACAGAAGCCGAGTTGCGTTGGTTTAAAAGACGGCGCGGCCCCTGGTTGTCTCACTGATTAGGCGAGGTTTTTTTCAGCCTAATCCGGCTAGCATTGTTGCCGTCATATTGAACTCAGGCCCCTAGATTATTACACAATGCGTCCAGACTCCACGCCCAACTTGCCTAAAGTTGCGAGATGCATAGTCCCAATTTTTTGGTCAGATGTCCAAGAAAGAAAGCATCCCGTTGACGGACTCGAAATTCTGAGACCAACAGCCTAGGATAAGACCTGAATGAGGTACGCCAGTCAAGTCTGGAAATTCTTGGTTGTTGTACATCTCCTTAACATCTCGACTCTGGAATTCCTCAAAGGGAGCTTTGCCCGTCATAATGTAGTAAATCGTGGATCCTAAACTGAAGAGGTCGGTTTTGACTGTTGGGGTCCACTCCAAGGAGCGATCCAGTAAAGGGGCTGCGTATCGAGTGCCCGGGCTGATCTCAGTGTAGGAGCCATCGACGGATGACCCAGAAAAGTCGATGATTTTGAGACGGAGACGGTCATCTAGGAGGAAATTATGCGGCCCAATGTCGCAATGAAGAACAGTCGAACTGTGCAGAAGCTTGATGCACTCAATAGCCTCAGTTACCCATTGCTGTCTCTGTTCCACGGGCACATCCGTGTGGGATTCGAGAAAGTCTTTGAGAGTTCCGTTGGGCACATCTTCCAAGGTTAAGGTGTATTCGTCTGGGTTCCATGCCTTCTTTTTCACTAAGCAAGGATGGTCACCAAGTCGATCGTATATCTCGGCCTCTGTAGCGATTTCGCGGCGTCGCTGGTTGGCGCGGTCGCCGCCAGGCCAGGCTGTCTTGATGATGGTGCCGTTGGGCAAACGCTCAACATAGGATGTTGAGCCTATCGCGACAAATTCGCCCTTTTGATTCAAAGACGGTGTTTCATCGTCGTGGCCGTCGCTCGGATGGGGAGCCAAGTTCGGCCTTGGATGGTTGTCGGTCATTGTAGGGCCAAAATGTGAGAGGTGATGTCTGATTGTTTACAGCGGTTTAGGTGGAAGGAGAGAGGATGAAGAGGATTTATGCGGGTGCGGTTCCTGCGTGGGCACCTGATGGTTGGACGCGGTGAAGCAGCGTTCCCCCGCAGCAGGAAGCGTTTGTGGAGGTACTCAGGTACAGTTAGAGTTAGTACTTGTCCATCGGCCTAACTTAGTCTAGGCGATGCATTATGTCTAACAAGAACATTTTGTTCAGATGAGAGTATAGTATTGATTAAGAGCGGACGGATTGGCACCGGTTAGTCTAAAATAGCCGTTACACTTCCGCTTCTGGAGATGTTCGTGGCCTCGTTGACTTCATGGTACAGTCAAGAGAGATAAAAGCGATCAGGGGCCATTGGTTTGTATTAATGTACCTATCTAGCGAAAAATGGGGACCTACTCATCTAAATATAGTAATGACGGGAAGTAGGCCTGGCATCAGACATTTTAAACTTCGCCGAGCTATGTAATATTTGGAGACGTTGCGTATAGGCTAGTATAAGGTAAATTTTCTAGCCAATGTGGGTCTTGCTAATAATCTTGTTAAATGAGAAACGATCTGTTCGACGATCTTTGAGTCGGAGGACTCATCGCTGACTATAACCTTCGTCTCGATGCTGGGGACACTGAACTCTGGACGTTATCTTGCCAGTGGTAAACGATGTTGGATTCAGACAAGCTGTACCCGAACTGATTACAGCGGAGCACTTCACTAGGAAATTGCTGGTTGTGTCACACGTTGCGGGGCAACCCCTGTAGGAGGCCTTGGTGGTCACGTTGGTACACATTCTAAATCGTCAGCTTGCCATCAACCAGCCACGATTTTCAATTGGACTTACTTGATGTGTATCGGTTAGAGGTTCTTAGAGATGAGCGCATATGGGAAGGTAACACAAACAAAAACAAAGCTGTGTCAGAGTCTTATATAGCCGTATTGCAGAATGGACCAGCGGGAGACCTGCTTCATGAGCCGTTCTTGCGTGGGATGATTACGTCGGGCTACAGACCAACATCGCCTTGTTCCTGCAACCCGCGTCGGCGCGTCGATTGCAACTGAGCTCACCAGAGGGACGGGGAGGGTGCGGAAATTTGCCTGTGGAGGTGTAGCTGTGAATTACTGAGCATGTTGTCGCAGTTATCACAAATACGTCGCTCCTTGTGGGCGTATCTGGGCCCTCATTGTCGTTGGCCGCTGAGACCCGCAAGACCTGCCGGTAATTATTAAGAAGAGAAACCAATTCCGTGATTTCTAATCAAGTTGTACAATGAGCTGATTGTAGGTGCATTCACTGTCTTGAGTCTTCAAGCAGTGCCTTTTACTGGCCTGGGCTGTGGTCTATCCTCTCACTTCGACACTAGCATCAGTACGTTTGTTCTGAAATCGGTTGTCTCCTGATCTGCTCCAGAAACCAGCCAAAGTAAGTAGTCTTCTACTTCTTACTACTCATACCATCAAATTGAGAACTCTACTACCCTATCTCGGCAACTTCAAGGGCTTGATTCTGAGTAAAAGCACTCAGCCTTACTTCGACGGTCGGCATTTGAGCTACACGTCTACCTGCACGTTTTGCCCAACTCCAATGTTCACTCGAAACCATTTCAAATTGATGACAAGCGCCCAAGACAAACCCATGTCATCTTCTTATTCCCAATCAAATAAAACTCCAAACACCGTAACGCCACCTACGTCCCCCTCATCTATGCTCACCCTCGCCAATGCAAAAGGGAATAGGATACGTCTCGCTCGTGCAAAGCCGGATCACACCCTTCACCCAAGACAACTGGCCATACCCCTGGCTCTCATACGTGTCCGCCACGAAAGGCGCCCTGGTCGGGCTATCCGTGCACCCCGTCAACACATTGCCCTGCACGCGACGGACAGAGGGCTGGCTGACGATGACGCCGTACCGATTGGCCGGGACGCCGAACTGGAGCGAGTTCTCCTGCGAAGTAGACCACGACATGTCGAGGTTCATGTTCAAGGAAACGCTGATAATCTTTGGACCGCCAAAGCTAATCTGCGAGCCGATTTTGAGCGTGTTCTTGATTTTGACGCCGTCGGAGATGCTGATGATGGCGGAGCTACCCGCTGACGAGGACGCCACGGGGGAGATGGCGACGTCCCAGTTGAGGAATTGTTCGTCCGAGGTGACCTGGACCTCGGTGCTTTGTTCGCAGCCGCGACGGAGGAGGCCTGGTGTGCTTGTGGTGTTGTATGATGTGATTTGCTCGGGTAAGGGGGTCGCCGTCTCGAGGGCGTCGTAGGCCGATGCCTTTATGATTCTAGAGGTACCGTCGTGGCCGAGGAGGATGACATCGTCGGCAGCTAGCGTGCGACGGTGAGGAGGGGCGGCAATGACGGCGGTTGCTAAGCCGATGACGGAGAAGAGAGTGGAAGGAATCATAATGTTCGAATGGAAATGACTGTCGAGCTTCAAAGCAGAATTAAGTATGTTGATTTCAAGGGAGCGTGACAGAAGCTGAATCTTCGGGACATTAAGGACAGTGGGAATCGGCGAGGCCGACTAGAAAGAGCTGATATTGAATGAGAGTGATGATTCGAGAGCAAGTCCTATGAGGAGGGAGAGCATCGTGGAACCATTTATCCTTCGACATGGTCCCTTTTTGTCAACCTCCCCTCGCCTCGCCTATTTTCTTGACTTTTGGCAATTCTCCAGAGAACAAATCTTCCCACAATCTCATTATCCTCACCTGGGCTCGCCCGCATTGACAATATTCGAAACCAGGCTATACCAAGAACCGAACTCCCAAAGACCTTTTGCCCTGGTAGCCCCCCCCCCTCGTCGAAGCCCTCCGCTTCTGAGGCTGAAAGATGGCAACGGGTCCTTGACCTCAACCAATAACGGCTCACGGTTCCGAGCCGGATCTCCGCCATTGTCGAAAAGAGACGTGGAGTGAGTACCAATCCGGACAGCGGCCGAGTGTTGCCCATGCCTCGTAATTTCACATCCAGAGGGGCCAGTGACCGAATTCGGACGGCCGTGATGGACTTTTGATCCTGGGCATCAAAACGCAGAGATGTGGATCTAAAGCAATCGAAGCACGAGCTGGACATGTCGTGTGCTTCCTTGCCCAAGCTAGCTAGTCTCGTGACTCTCGTCCAATGTTTTGCTGATTCTCTAAATGCAATACTACATTCGTAGTAGCGCAGTAAAATAAGCATAAGCCTAATTGGTATCGGAACTCCAAACCACCAAACTGAACCATTTGTGCCCCCAATGCGGCCCTGTTGCGCCCCCAAGTCTCCATATGCAGTACGCTGCTTGGTTGTTGATTGGTCTCTTGTCCAGCTACGAGTCATGGACTTTTGTGCGGCTGTCGGACAGCAGCGTTGATGACTCGATGCATGCCCGTCTCAGGTGTCCATGCTCTAGAACCACCCATAGCAACCCCATCAGCGCGTCTCTCGGGTCTCGATCCGGGCGCTCTTTTTCTGCCCAGCGTGCTACAGACATGGACGAAGGACTGGCGATCCACGCAGCAAAAGTGGTGCACGAATTGCCCGGGTGGCATGTCTCCAGCATCGGTGCCCGGGCCATGATAAAGTCATCCTTTATCCGTGCTCCGTATAATATCCAGGTGCAAAACTTTGCGCCAAGGCTACCTCAATTTTGGCAGCTTGGCTTAGGTAAGGAGAATACCAGCATGTTCAGTCATCCGGAGAGCCGCATTAGCCGCGCCATAGGTTGGGTTTGCCTGCTGCGAGAAACTTCCGTAGTGAGCCTTGCTCATGGGCCCAGCTAACTAAGCCTAAACCCGCGAAAGTACCCAAAGTCTCCAAGTAAACCAAGCGAGAAATGAAGTGCGATTGTCTCCATTTGCATCCTCAACTTGCGACTGCCAAGGGGCTTGCTCTTTGCCGTGGTAGTGGGAACTTATCCAGCCAAAGGGTTGGCATCGAATGTTTATATTTGCCCCGGATATGTATTGCACCGTTTTGGGTCTTCGTCAAAGGTTCTCTGCATTGCGTATCCGCTTTTCGGTGGTTGGCCGCCTAGACTCTTAAAAGGAGAGTGGTTGAACGACTTTTCTTGACTCTTGCAGTCTTGCTGGTTATAGAGCACCCGTCCTCATTGAGAAAAGTCGCTGGTCATGCCACTGTTCAGCAGAGACCAATAGGTCGTATCAACACCTTGGAACGCCCAGTCACCAGCCTCTGCCGTGATTCCAGGGCATGGCCATCCGAGATAGTCGGCGCTGAACCCTGCGCAAACGTCCTCGTGAGGGATCGTGTTGTCCTGGCCGAGGAACGCTTCCAACGACACTGCGGGAGGCGTATCCTGCTGTAGCGATTCCGACGACACGGTGGTGGTGTTTGCTGGAGTCGGTAGCTGCGAGTGGCTCAGGTCCAGCAAATGCGACTCGGCTGTCTGGTTTGCGGTTGTCTTGATGTTGATGATTCCGAGGTACGGGATACTCAACTGGAGGTTTTTTACCTCCGACTCGGGGCACAGAGGTGGTTTTGCGCCGCTGCAGCAGTCGACGATGGGAAGAAGTTGCCTGATTATTTCTGCACTCTCGCCAGACAGCTTGTCGTCGTTTAGCAGGGCCAATTCCTCCATCTTGGCCAGGACAGTTTCGGCCAGGGCTCGATCCTCGCTTCGTTGTCTCGACCAGTCCTCTTCACGAATGCTGGGGGGGCGGCTGAGATGGCCGAGGAGAAGCGTCATGGCGGCCATGAGTGAGGAGTAGTCAATGTGACGGCACGAAAAGGCGGCGTTGTTGGCGGTGCGGAAGATGACGCATCGCCTCAGTACGGCTCTGCTGGACTCTAGACACGTGTTTTTGCTGTAGTCGAAGCGGGTGTTTGTCTGGTTGCGAAGCATGTACGGGAGATGCAGCAAGATGAGCAAGCTGTGATGATGGATCTGAAGCATCAGGTGCGACATGATGCTCATCTGGGCGGTTGTGTCGGCGTAGTCGGGTACGGACGGGATCTCCCACCAGCTCCGTCCCATGGACTTTGCCGCGTGCTCGAGCTCACAGTCGACAGACTGGGTAATACCAAAGGCTTCCATCGCGGATGTGCGGTTCCTCTCAATGATGCGCAGCGATATGGCGGTGTACCTCTTTTCCAGCTTCTCCATTTGTGTGTCGCGGGCCAGGAAGGGTTCCGACATGAAGCTGTTATCCTGGGAGCCAGCGGAGAGACCGAGGAGTAGGGATAGGTAGCGGTCGCACGAGTTGATGCGGGACCACAGCGAGTGGGAAGAAGGCATCGTCGAAGGGTCGGTGGCGGGGTCGCACGACTTCAATGGTCGCGAGCCATCCCGCTCGATGCCCATCAGTTGTGCCAAGCTGAGCGCCCTTCTCATGGCAAGCCACGCCTTGCGGAGGTTGCCAGAGTTGACGAGGTAGAAGCCTTCAAGAATGAGACACTCTAGGCCCTCTGCGGAACCTACCAACTCATCATTGGAAGTCACCGCGCTGGCGGCCGCGGCCCACGCTGCCATCGTATCCTGAATCGAACCCTTCAAGCCGATCTCGAGCTGCGAAGGATCGAAGCACGGCGGCAACTGCTGGAGACAGATGGTCAACTGAAGCAAATGCTTCGCCAGAACAGCGGGATGCTTGGCGACGTCTGGTATGGCGGTGAGGGATGATGTCGGTTGGGATTTGCCCTCGAGGATATCTTGATACGAGTAGAAGACGATCAACACAAAGATTGGGCCCCTGCTTGACTGGACGATGGTTTTGACGTCCTGAAGGGACGGGAATACGGAGTGGATCTCCCGGCATATCTTGTCGTACTTTGAACCAACAAGGGGCTGCTTTGCCGCAGGAGAGTCCAGTGCGGATTGGTGAGGCGCAGGACCGGAAATGGAAGCAGAGACGGCGGCGGCGGTAGCACTCACGGGCGGCCAGGCCGAGTTCTCCGGCGTGGCGTGCGGGTCCGAGGCACGGAGGGACCCTTCGACGGACGGCGTCGTCGGGTTCGATTTGTTGACCGACGACGCCTCAGGGCCCATCTTGTCGGCCAGCTTGACCATCAACTCTTCCAACCGTCCGAGACGCTGAGCGAGGCCGCGCTCGGGCGGACCGGACGGCTCATCGTCGGTGAACTCCTGGCTGACGCAGACGGCGCCGCGAGCCTGGCAGCCGTTGCAGGTTTGCTCCTCGTTGGAGGCGAACTCGCAGCGGATCTTTCTCTTTCTGCCTGGACGGGGTATTAGTGAATAGTGATCACGTCCATGTGGTGAACTCGGACTAGAGTCGGGAAGATCGGGCAAAAGATGGACCCCGGGGAGACGGGGCACATTCGCGGACGAAAACCTACACTGCCAGCAGCTTCGAGTTCCTTTTCGGACCTTGCGTTTCTTCGTCGGTCGTTCGTCCATGTTTTCGGATGTAGTTGCGCTAACAAAGATGACAGAAATTGGTGGCGATGGAGGAGACGGATGTTTTCTCTACAGCGGGCAAGATGAATCACAACAGAAATGTAGTTTCGTGAGACCAGAATCGCCTTTGCGCGTTCCAGTTGGACTGCAAAGACATGACCAGCACCGCATCGCTGCCTGTCTCATTGACGTTGTTGATCTCGCCGTGCTTACGGATCTTTCGTCCGCTTCGTCCGCTCGGAGGCCGAACGACGGACGAATGCCGCTAGTGGAGGGGGGAAAGGTACGTATCTGGGTCGGACAAACGCTGCCCGCATCACGTGCGGACAGCCAATCTCTGGCGGCAGTTCTTCTACTGGTCCACATGGCCACACGCGCCGAGCGTCTATTGGCTCTGGGGTCTGGACCCGAGCTTCGCCAGGCCTGATTGGGCAAGTGTCTTATCAGATTCGATCTTGATCGGTACGTACCTCTTCCCCCAAATCACTAATCACTCACACTCCTCCTCCTCCTCCTCCTCTGCCCTCAGCAGAGTCAGCACCCCTCAGCAACCCCTCAACTCGTGATCCTTTGTTAAGAAAAAAAGAAATCGGACCATTTTGCCGGGTTGATGACTAACTCCCAGCATCCATCACGGCGTACAGAGCAACTTGCGTTACCAACTTCAGTCAAACCCCAGCGATCGCCAACCAATCGGGCTTGTTGGTGTTGACGTGCAGCAGAGGGTCCTGGCATCCTTTGTTGGTTATCGAATAGCGTCACGGAGCTCGACGCCAGGGGTTCATGGATTCGAAGCCCGTCTCGACATCGATTGCGCTTGGCGGCATAACGACTAACGAGTTGAGGCGATGTTGGCAGGGCTAACTACGGTAGCGGGACCCCAGAAACCAAGCCTCAGCCTAAAAGAGACATGGGCCCTAAATCTGAATTCAAGTTCATCACCGTCGAGGCTACTGAAGGGGATTTCCAAGGGAATTTCCAACCTGCAAGCAAATCCACCCGCAGCCATGCCATCCGAACGGCCATTCAAAAGGGTCAGTCCGAGCTGGGTACCTCGACGGCCCTCACGTCCCAGGATACCATCAAGCAGAAGGCCCAGTTGAAGGGACGATTCAGAGTGGCAGGCAAACCCGTCAGGTCGAAAAGGTCCAAGAGCAAACAGCATCAACAAGACCGCCGTTCTCATGTAGTACTTGACCCTTATTCCCTACCCCATCCTACCCTGCAGACTCGGGGCGCCAATCACTCACACGTACCTAGTCTCCATCGGACATTGCTGAGTTTCTGCACCAAGCATCGCTGCCACCCTGGGTTCAGAGACTCGGGAGCGATAGCGCTGACCCCTTCAACACGCTGCCCATCCCAAGTAGCCCTTGCGTAGATTCTTTAGTCAGATATTGTAAGAACCGCCTCTCCTGCCGTTCTGCACTCATCCGCTGTGTTGTGTTGTGTTGTACTGTGCTGTGCGGTTGAGCTAACTCTCTAGTCACCACCAGGTTCAATCTCAACTCCACCACCATCGACACGCAGAGACCATGGTTCCCCTACGCCATGCAGAGCGCACTCATCATGCGCGTCACGCTCGCGCTGGCAGCAGAGTTCCTGACCGCCACCATGCCTATGCTCGACGTCAAGCTTCAGCGGGAGGGGTACCAGCAAAAGGGCGAGGCGATGCGCATCATCCGAGATCGCCTGGGGTCGCAGGAGTCGGCTCGGAGTGCAAGCCATGATCTCTCTGTTCTTGCCGGCGTGGCCATGTTGGGAAGCGTTGAAGTGAGTACATGTAGTCCTCTGGCTTTTGGGTAACCATCACGAATCAATGAGGATGTACTCACACGTCTCGACAGGCCTTTCAAGGTCACTTCTCAGCGGCCAATGTCCACTTGACGGGACTTCACGCCATGATTGAAGCTCGTGGCGGGCCGGACACGATCAAGCACGACTACATCCTCTGCCGCTGCATCAACTGGTGTGACCTTTTTTTTCTTCTTTTTTTTTCTTCCTTTTTCTTTTTTTCTTTTCCATTCCTCCACTGCCCCCACACAGCGCAAACTTACCAAGATTTCCCCAGGATCGACATCCAAGTAGCCTCGGGTCTCGGGAGAGTCCCAAAGTTCCCCATGTTCCACACCCTCGCCCAGGTCTCCCTCCCTCCCTCCGTCGTGCATCGCGCCATGACGCCCTCCCTGCGCCACCTGGAGACGCTCGGCGGCCACAACCCCGACGAGAGCGACGAGCCGCGCGACATCTTTGTGGCGCTGCGGCAGGCGATCCTCTCGCAGGCTGGCGGGGGCGGCGGCGGCGGCGCCACGGGTGTGGCCGTGTCCGCGGACACCATCAGGATCGTAATGAACACGGCCGACAGCGCGATTCTGCACTTTTTATACGTGGAGCGTCGGACGGCGACACCCGTGCAGAAGCGGTTCCTGGTCCTGGTCTCGGCCGCCCACGTCTTTCTCTATACCGTTCTGCGCGAGATTCCGACGACGGGCCACATGGTGCGCGTTCTCGTCGGGAGGATGCGCGACGCCCTGGAGGAGGCGGACGCCATTGCGCTCATCTGGGTCTCTCACGACGCTGCCCTCTTGTGGGTTCTGTTTGTGGGCGTCGTCGGATCCGGAACCACCGAGGACCGAGCGTGGTTCGCGGCGAGGTTACATAGCTTGCTGGAACGGGCCGGGGGTATGTTGCCGCCGGAGCGATGTAGGCGCGAGAACCTGCAGCAGCTCCTTTCCGGCTTCCTCTGGCGAGATAAGCATTGTTTACCCGTCTTGGATGAGGTCTGGGCGTCGTGGGAACGTCAACGCCAACGCGGCCAAGGCGGCTGCGGTGATGGTGGTGGTGATGGTGATGGTGATGGTGGTGTTGGTGTTGGTGTCACGTAGAGCCCATTAAACCCCTACAGATTAAATGTTCCCACAACGTCAAATAACCGACGTGGGATTGGTCCAGTTGCTGCTGCTGCTCGCGGGTTCCCCGTGTGGCCGGAGCGTTTCACCGCAGGGATCCATGGATCGGGGACTCCAGCTTGCTGATATCGTCCTCTTCTCAGAGTGGTCAGCGGCCGGGATGGCCTGACTTGCAGCAAATTTCAGCTGTTGATGCGTTCGTCCGGCTGAAACCGAAAGAAGATCCTACACTGGGAATATCATCACAACAAGGCCAAAGAGAATGGCACGCCGTAGGTTTGAAGGATTTTCATCCCAGAGAAACGACCGATTCAGAGTGTAACGATAATTTCGAACACGCCGCGCCCTATCAACAGCAACCCAAAAAAAGGCGTGCGCCCTTTAACAAATTAGTGCACAATCGCAAGCCGGCCCCATCCCCGCAAAGCTTCCTTACCCCGGATTCATTCAATGACACAATCGGAATTGCCAACAGCTTCGTCCCCCTGCTTGTCCTGGCCCCCCCTTCCCCTGGACGCTTCGCCGCGAGCGAGCAAAAGCCCGTCACAAACCGCTTCGAGTTGCTCCTTTGAACGGAAAAAGCTCGCACGAAAGGACTTGGTAGCTCGGCTCTCGCGGCACAACGGCCGAGTCGTTTGGACGCAAGGTCGAACCTTCGGATCCGCCAGACGCGGTAGATCACCCAGTCCATCACCCTCAACTAGACGCCAATACAACCTGCTGATGCGCGCATGTGCTATCCGTGGCCTTATTTAGCCTTGTTTAGTCACCGACGTGTTTCGTTTTCTCGTCGTCACTCCATTGGCTGTCCCATGGTCATGAAACCAGTTTTCGCTTTGCCACGGATGTGCCTTTGTAATGTCGGGCGAGAACTCGGCGTAAATGCAACCTGCATTTCCATCACACCCAGCCTCCAAGGCAACCAGCCTCCGAAACTGTTATCTCTGCGGTTGGTCATGGTTGTATGTCAAATTATTGAGCAGAAACCCTCTCTGGCCAGTCAGAGTTCACCCAAAGAAAAAAACTGGCACGCACAAGAAGACACAAGGAAAAAAGGGTCCGTATGGGTTCCGTTCACGCACAAGCAGCTTGTCCGGCATGGATCCTAGGCTCCAAAAACCCGCGTCGCGTGAGATCTTGCCTTGCTCGCTTCGCTCGCCTCGCCCAACAGGCGGCCCTACGTAGACGGAGAAGAAGGAGGGGGGGAGACGGGCATATGCAGGGGGCCGATCAGCCCTTTGTGTGGAATTGGGTGCTCCGTTCTGCAGGGAAGTGCGTAGGAGGCGTCGACAAGCCTTTTTTGGGGCCTTCCAGTCGATCTTCTAGAAGCTTTCCCAATGTGTGACAGGTGTGAGTGGAACCGGCATGGATCACGACTCGAGGATGTCGGGAATGTACGGGACCACGGCCGCGCTATTACGTCTAACTTTGCGGCCCTCTGCGGGTAAGCGGCTTTTCAAGCCACGGCTGGTTTAGCGCATCGAGGCAAGACACACCAAGACACCCCAAGACTTGCAGAAATCGCCTACGGCAGCGCGGGAAGGGCACTCGAAGGGGGGGACGGGTGGAAGGGTGGAAGGGCGGAAAGGTGGGAGAGATCTGAGTGAGACAGAACCTATGGGAGTCTTTTCCCACAGACGGGCTCAGGGCCCCCCCCTGGTCCGGCAATCGTCACACTTGGCTTTGGCTCTTGTTCGCTTTCGTCTGAAAAATTTTGAGCCTCATGCTCTTGGCCCCCCAATGTCTGGTGTTCCAGGTCGCCTATGACGCTCTTTTCCTCGCTCGAGTTTCAGCAACTCTAGATAAGGCAAAGTTTTCTCTTTCGTCCGTTTCTTTCTTGCAGAAGCTCAGACTCTCTTTATATCCCAGTCACGTCAGGCCTCTTCCCAGCGCGCCACACCGGTCGTATTTCGGGTCGCCCGTGGGAACAGGCTAACAGCAACATGGACTGACTCAAGCGGGGGCGAGGTGAGGCCACTCTGCGGCTCTGCTTCTGGGTTCTTTAGGTAAAAAATAGGTCACAATATCCACCTTATTACGATGCAAAAACTCTACCAATTGCCTCAGTCCCGCAATTCCACGCACCGCGTACAGAGAAACCCAGTCCGCAACCCTCAGCTTGCTGGCACGCGGACCTGGTTTTCTTGACAATGAGAAATACAATTCTACGCTGGGAAACTCGGGGAAGCGCACACGCACAGCCAGCGGTCAATGTGTCAATTCTGGAATCTCAGGGACGCTGGTCGATTTCGCGGGGAAAGTCTGCAACGGTTTATTCCCCCGCAATGGCACCAACGCACGGAATCCAGTTAGTTTCCCAGGCAAGGGGAGGGGGGGG